CCCCCCCCCCCCAATTTCTCTACGGATTTAGCCTTTTTCAGAGAATTTTTTTTTCGATTGGGGGGGCGGTCGCCCCCCCTTGGCTACGCCACTGGTTTTCATGCATGTGCCCCTACTCTGTCTAACACCAGACAATTTTACTTGTCAAGGGGAGAGCCCTTGTGTTTAACAGGTTAACCTTTTAAGTGGCAATGAGCCCTACTTTATTATTTTACTATGTCAAATGCCATTATGCCAGACAATTTTACTGGTCAAGGAGAGAGTGATGCAACTCATGCAAGTAATGAGTTAATATTATCCATGGGAAAATTGAAAATTTGGTTGCCATCTCTGCTATCATGTATATTTTTGGACTTCATATCCACAAGTTTGTTCTTTGAGTGGAGCAAACATTGTCTAAAGTTAAGCATATGTAGTATTATAAACATCCTTATATTATTCACATCCTTATATTATTCACATTGAGAACTGTTACAATACATTTTGTCCAAAAACACTGTCTGTTAATTAAGATGAAGTGGTTATTCAGTAAGCTGGAAAAAACTGATGCTTTTTGAAAACCGACGTTCTAGGCAAACACAAAAAATTTGGGGGGAAATGTGTTTGACACTCGGCAATATTGAAACAAAATGGCAAGTAATTCCACATATTTGTGCATAATTGCGGGGCATTGGAAGCTAAGCGGATAAACGGTTCACATGCTTGCTTAGTTCAACAGAAGGCGGACTTAGGTTTTTTTTTAGTCAGTTTTTAAGTACTGTGGTGATATAATTCTTCTGGTATATTGGTACACCAAACATCCCTAATATTCAAAGTATCAATAGCAATGGTCTTTACAATGGCTAGAAGCACTAATGAAAAGTTTGCTTGTTTGTAGTACTTTTTAGTCCGGTTGGAAGATGAAGATTGTTGCCAATGAAAATCCCAAAGTTTCTGTTTTTGAAGATGGTGTCTCAATCAAGGAGGTCATTACAACCTTGATGCAAAATAATAAATCTGAGGTAAGTGTCTGAAGTAAAGTTAGTAAACAAGATTTTGTGTATGCCAGCGATGGGTTTGGCTTGATCTACAATCAGTGACATTGAAAGGTGAGACACTCAGATTCAGGCTTTTAGCCAGGTTCCTAAAAGAGGGCATCCAATTTTGGTACAACACTACATCTACAGAAAAGGGGGGAGGCGGTGTTCGAGAAAATGTTTCTCTGGAAAACCTTTGAAGTTTATGTTACTTCATGTCAGTATCTGTTCCAAGCTCGTTCGAAAAATTTTCAAACACGCTTGGCTTTGTGAGTTTGTGCCGCTATGCTTCTTTACTTAACTACGACATTTTCATCAAATTGATCAAAATGTCAAATGTATAATAATAATGAGAATTGAAGCTATTTCTTTTCTGATATATCAATATACTTAGGGAAATAATTGAAAATAATTTCCCTTTTTTCCCAGAATTTGGGCATCCAAAGGCATCCATTTGTTGTTCTAGGGGCGTCCCAGGATGCCTGGACGCCCTTCTGGCTAAAAGCCTGCTCAGATTGGAAGGTTATTTAAATAATAACAATTGCAAAAATAACATGTAAAACCCCCTTCCCCATTTCAATGTTGCTGTGTTTTCTGGGAGAGTTATCAGCAATTCAATACAACACAAAACTACTTCAAATAACATGCCACTTTTAGTCTCACAACAGTGTTGTGCTACAATCTCAGCCGAACAGGTCCACATATTTTGTCACTGATTGTAATAGGAGCTGTAACTGATTGGATTTGATATACAGTATCAATACCTGTATGCCACAACATCCTACAAAGTGTATCATCCCCGAGGCAGTTGTGCAGTTTTCTGGGTAAATGGTTTCAAAGCCAAGCTAGTGTTTCTTACATTTGCCTGGATGGTCAGTAGGGTGTAATGCTAAACATGGATTTTATTGGGATATTGGTACCTCCCTTTTTAATTAAACACTGTTGAAAATATTGATCGACCATTGGGTCATTCCAGAAAAGATCTAAACTCCCTCTAGGCTCTACCGTGGAAATTTTAGAGGAAGTGGGAATATGCACTTCTGATATAAATAATAAATATATTAGGATATCTGAATGGGGGAGGGGGTTAACTTCCAATTTTCTCTGTGGATGTGAGAGAGTGGTTGATCCATTTTTAGTTGATATCTAAGTCAATAAGTGAATGTCTTGTTACTCTTGATGTCAATTTGCTTTTGAAATCTGACTTCAAATGTTTGGAATGTTCTTGTAAAGTTCTGAATTTTGTTTTGAAATTTGTTCCAATGATTTACGATGATCAAACTTTGTAAGTTGTAATTGGCCAGTAAAACAAGCCAGCCAATCAAATTGCTTACTATTGAATCATTGTAAATCATTGGAATGAACTTCAAATTTTGGAACTTTGCAATGAAAATTTCAAAGTCATATTCCAAAAGTAAATTGAAATCAAGAGTAATTGGAATTTGTCATACCCTATCGAAATTTTTTATCCTTTTAGTCATCGGTATGAATTGCATTTCCCCACATGATAGGCCAATTAGATAACTGCTTGAAAATGACAATGAAGAGAAACTTGCCCTCACTGAATTTTCATACAAGAAAATAATGAGGAATGTTTAAGTCAGAGTCATTCTAATATACGCATGAGTATTGTGTGAAGTGAAAATCGTATTAATTTCATTTCAATTGACAGTAATATTTTATATTTTATTTTCAAGGATGATGCATTTTACTGTGTAGATATTGGGGATATCTTAAAAAAACATGAAAAGGTATAATTTCTATAAATAGTTACATGTGTGTATTAGATTGAGTAAAGTCTAATAAGGTCAGTCCTCACTATTCTCGACGGCAAACAGCAATTGCCACCGATAATGCTGCAGGAATTGACATTATATCTACAGCAAATTTTTCCCGACAAAGAATTTTGAGGGTACTACCTTGAATACCTTATTAATTTGATTGATTCTTACCATGCTAGTGCACAACATTGCCCTAACATTGTCACAAATGATTTTAAAACAATATCATGTAACAACACATAAGAACAGTGATGGTGGTAACCCATTTAAGTTGAATTGTGCCCCATTGCACCCTACTTTATTATTTTAATCTAACTCCAGATAATGTTATTCATCAATGGGGAGAGGCTGGCGTTCAATGGGTTATTAGGGACAAAGTTTCCTTGCACATACTCTATGATCTTTTTCATCTTACAATATTTGTTTTATATTTTATAGTGGAAATATCTATTACCGCGCATTGAGCCATTTTATGGTATGAACATTTTAATTATTATCAGTGTTCAAAAAAGAAAGGTTGTACAGTATAATACATTGTAATTATTACTTCACTTGCTGCAAATTTGAAAAACAATTGAAATGACAAATCCTGTTTTATATGGTATATTCTAAATAAGTCAAATTGTTAGTTTGCCTCACATTGGTTTTAAATCAACACTTTGAAAAAAATGTAACAGTATGATTTAACTGAACTGAGACTTAACTGAACTGGCAAAATTGTTGCTTACAGTAGTTCTTTTTGACTAACTAAGTTGATGCTTATATTTTGTGTCATATTTTAGCGATAAAGTGTAACACTGATCCAGTTATTCTTGAGCTGATGGTCAACTTAGGAATTGGTTTTGATTGTGCAAGTCAGGTAAGAATTTGTACTAATATACTGATGTTGCATTTTATCGTGGAGTTTTGCTGCATTAATTTTAATTTTGCTACATTAATTTTAATTTTGCTACATGACACATTAGGGCCATTTATACGGGACAAAATAAGACGCGACTTACATAAGACGCAACTTAAATAAGACGCGAGTTTGTCGTATAAAAGGTACAAAATTCTTATGTAAGACGTGTCTTGGATAAGACGCGTCTTACATAAGAACAGGACTTTTAGCTGTTCTTATTTAAGTCGCGTCTTAAATAAGAAATTTTGGACAAAAATTCTAACTATACACATGTCCGAAACTTGAAACAACGTAAAATTATTAGCCTTGCCTATTAAAACAAAAACAACCGAAACAAAATTATGGCTATAGCAAGTAAATAAGAATAAAGCCGTAGAGAACCATTTATGCGATAACTCAGCTTATATAAGACGCGTCTTATGTAAGTCGCGACTTATTTTGTCCCGTATAAATGGCCCTATTGACAGACTCCCATGCACAGGCCTGTCCTGTCATCAAAAACAACTTCAGAGCAATTATAAGCAAAAGAGCGATACATTTGATAGAGTCTTGGTTTATGAATAATAAAACTGACATCTCGAATGTCAGGGACTTTGTAAACCTCGTCTCCAGGGCATTTTGTCTCCACAGCTGTAGGTCGGCGAAAATGGCCCTGTGATCGGCTGGTCACATGACACCCAGAATTTCTGGCTGTTTTGTTACGATAATGTATATGAAATTAAATCTTTGTTGTTTGTTTACAAATAATAAATGTGAAATAATGAACTATTTGCCAACTTATTCATCTAAAGACGTTATTTTAAGAGCAGTATGCTTGCATAGTTCTTATATCCATGAGTCCAACAAACACATATCAAGGCAAGTATAGGGCATTAGTGAATCTTGACTACATATACTCTCGGTATTTTCTTAAGTTTACTGTATAATTTGAAGACAAAAAAATTTAAAATGTTAGAGTTGTTTGAATAAATTATAATGCAAAATAATTAATTCAATGTGATTGGGGAATTGATCGGCCAATCCCGTGGCCATTTTCGCCAACCGTCAGCTGTGGAGGCAAAATACCCTGCGGACGAGGTTGGGACTTCATTTAGCAGTGACAAAAAGGAATAGTTGATCTTTAGACAGAATAATAAATTTCAAAATCTACTGTTCTGGGTGTATACCACTGAACTTTATACAGGGAATCTAAAAAAACGCTATGGAAATTCAACAGGCTGTTGTGCATCATAAACGTGGCTAAACAATTCAATTTTTACATAGGACGAAAGAACAGTTATTTAGCCTTCCAACGATACTCTTTTTAAATCATAACGATGAGAAATGGCCACATACTCGTCAAATAAATGTTGCCGGTCGAAATCACATTCTTCCACCGTTGGGAATTGCATGGAAAACGAAACATAGACAAGTTCTCATCGTTATACGATTTAAAAAAGATATCATAGAAAAGCTAAATAACAGCTCTTTTGTCCTATGTAAAATTTGAATTGTTTAGCTAAGGCGTAAAAAAATAGCTGTGGTTCCGGTTTCCAACCGACCCTATTATTTTTTCAACGCAATTGACCATGCGACCCTATTTTCTCCAGGTGGTTGCGGGCTGCTCATACAGCGTGCCAAAATGGCGTCTGTTGTCACACTAATTATTGAACCAAATTGCCTAAATTCGTCCATAGGAAATACGCATCTCTATAGTTAATATTGATGTCCGGACTCTACTGCAAATTGCCCAGCAAAAAACCGCCAAAACCGTGAAAAAAAAATATTCAAAAAAAAATTTAATTCCGACCTATGGACCCTAATTTTTTCACGATATGAAACCGGAACCACAAGTATTTTTTTTATGCCTAAGTTTATGATGAACAACAGCCTGTTGAATTTCCATAGCGTTTTTTTAGACACCCTGTATATATCAGGAGCAAGAACTTCAGTCATTCAGCCAATGAGAATAGTGAGATTGACAACCAAAATCTTGAAGGTTGTAAACAGTCCCTCTCACTCCAGACATATAGGGATCTCACTGGTGTATACTAGATGTAAATTTCTGCTAAATCCTATATTCCTATTCTCTTTCGTAAATTTCTGCTAAATCCTATATTCAGATCTGGATCATTTAGTGATGACTCTTTGTTCAATTTCTAGGTTGAGATCGATACCATGCTGCTAAGCTATGGTGTTGAACCAAATCGTATTATATTTGCCAATCCATGCAAACAACTGTCACACATTAAATATGCTGTTGCCAATGGTGTCGACCTCATGGCGTTCGATAATGAAATGGAGCTGCAAAAAGTGAAGGCACTTGCTCCAAATTCCAGGTATCAACCCACCGGGCACACGACGTTGTTTCAACGTTGAAATTTGGTAGACAAAAGGTTGCGACGTCGACAACCTAATATCTACGTTGCAATGACGTTGTTTTACAAACATTGGTTCAACAGCAGCCAACAGACGTCGAATTAACGTTCATTCATGGTTAAATGTACGACGTCGATTTGTGAACCAATCTCAACGTTGTTTTAACGTGGATTCAACGTTGAATTATGGTTGACGAGATTAGCAACCTAATTTCAACGTTGTTTCAACGTCGAAACAGTAACGTCGATCCAATTTGCATAGTCAACCCTTTTTCAACGTCTATCCAACGTCTGGAAGGTCATTTCCAACGTTGATTCAACGTTGGATAAACGTCATTTTGCCCGCTGGGAATTTGTGTGCCATGATTTTGGCAATATAGGCCTTTTGCGATAATTGGTCATGTGATCCTATGGATGGTTCCTGCTTTAGACGAAATTCTGATCTGGACAAGAAGAACAAAGTCCATTACAATACTGTACAGTAGCTGGAAAGAGCATCTTAAAATGAGTAAAATTGCAAAGTTTGGTTGCGAAATGTTGTAAAATGAGGAAAATATAGCCGTGTGAAATTCGCAAATTTTGTATATACAGGGTGTATAAAAAAAAACTGAACAGATTTGAAATTGCTCTCAATTTCGCAAAACAC